GGAAAAAAGAGACTTAGAATTTACCTTTTGGTGTTATTGATTTTTTAAAAAACTAGTGGATATTTGTCCCACATGGGATAAAATTGCCCAATCTCTATAGTAAAATTTTTGTCCTTAAAAAAAAGTTTACCCTAACCTTTACATTGGAACAATTGACAAGTACGATAATCAATGTTTGAAAAAGCCTCCGCCTAGGCCGCCAAGGTTAAGACTGTACCTAGGTTGAGGCTGTACCTAGGTCGCCCGCCTAGCCCTTAGCGCCTAGGCGATACCTAGACTACCCATAAATTATGAGAGCGCTTTGGGGAATGTGGTTTGCTTAAGTTGACTGAGCTCTTTCGGCCTTGATCATGATTACTGCATTGTAGTCTCTATGCCCTCTAACCTCCAAGCTCTTGTGGCCTCCAACTAAGATCACCTCTTCTACCTCCTTCAACATTTGGCAAAACTTCTACCACCACTTAAACAAAGAAGAAATCCACCTCAGAACCAATCTGGTTCTTAAGCTTTCTATAACATCGATATTTACTATCAATTATTGTAATTAAAAAAAATAAAAATAGGTTAGCTGCATGGACCCCTTCTTGGCTCCTAAGCTCTAGGTATCGTGTCCAACACCTAGGCTGCCTAACACTTTTTGTAACTTTAAGGATAATTTTGACGCATTCATACATTAACTAACTAATATATGTTAATTATATGCAATAATTTAACAAATAATATAAATTAGATAAATACAAATATTTTGATAATTATATTATTAAAAATATTATTATATTATATTAAGTATACTATAATATAACATGTTATAAAATAATATATTATAATTTATTATAGTACAATATATTATATTGCAATATATTATGTTATACTATATAATAATATTATATATAATATACTATAAAATAATATTTTTTATTAAACATAATAAAGGACATTATTTTATAATATAATTTGTTATATTGCATTCTACTATAATATATCATATTAAATTAAAATTATTTATAATATATTATATCAAATATAGTATAATGTACTTTTATTGGCAGAGCCAAGAATTATGGCTGGGGGGGGGAAAAAAAAAAAGCCAAAAATAATCAAACATGATAAGCACATGAATATTTTGACACAATTGAATAGTGTATTAAGTTCTCAACATCATTGTGTAATAGAATTTCTAAAATAACACTTTTTATTATAATATAGTGTTTACAATAGCGTTCTTCTTACCTTTATTTCTTTGAAATCGTTTCATGACATCTTCCTCATCAATTATACAAAATTTTCAGTACAAGGCACCAAATAATCATTCATATACTCATCTCACATTCTGTTTCTAAGATTATTCTTAATAAGTTACATTACTGAAAATGATTTTCCAACACTTGTTGCAATGACAATATTAATGCTAACTTCACCCAACTTATATATCAAAGGACATATAGTGTCCATCTTCAATTCATTCAACTTCTTAGCAAGCTTACCAATCCTTTTAATTTCACAAAAATGATGACGAGTAGCTACTTAAGGAATGTAGTCAAGTTGATCGCTAATCTCCATGCGATCTACTTAGAAAAAATCTTTAGGATAAAACTCAACCAATATTAATTTTCCCTTATTTAACAAAGAGAATGAGTTACTTGGTTCAAGGCATGCCACACAAATAGGAATGAGCCCAAGGGGGGCAGCAAGGGCCGTGGCTCCATAGAGTTTTCGAAATAGTGCACTATTAACTGTTGGTGCACAAATTTTTCTCATTCGTTGTGCTATTTATTAGGGAGAATAAGGGAACTTATTATGGTCTACAACTAATTCTAATATGTTAGGGAAAATAAGCAAATGCAGTGGGGTCCATTACTTAGTATTTTAAATCATCTACAACTTCTTTGCGAACAGATCGTTGACTCCTCCATTTTGATGAATTTTATTTCATTTTTTTTCTAGGGCTTTCTAGACGACAATCCTCCAAATCTTTCATATTTTGAAAATAGATCACAAAATCTTCATATTTTGAAAGTAGTCCCCAAAATTTTTAAATGTTTTGGAATTAGTCCCCTAAATCTTTCAAACAAGTTGCTAATTAGAGGAACTAATTTCAAACCACTTAAAAAGAATTGGAGGACTAATTTCAAAATGTGAAGATTTGGGGGGGACCAATTCAAAATATTAAGGGTTAAGGGGACTAATATCGAAACCCCCCCATTTTGTAACCTTAAAAGAAAGGGAAGAGAGCAATGACAAAGGCCGATTAGCCGGTTCCTTATCATGGAAGGGCTCTGATCAATTAGATTAGAATTAGGGTTTCATCTAGTCTTCCCTATCTTAATGATTTGGACATAAAAATCTTATTTTTTGGGGTATACTTTTGAATTAGAAATAAGATTCATTATCCCTGTAAATTGAGTTTTTCTTAATGTATTAGCTTTTTAATTAATTAATTCAACACCTCCATATTGTCAATTTTGTGTAGCTTTTTAGCTTTTTATTTTTTTAACCTAAGTGACTTTTGATGTGATAAGAAGCTTGATTAATGTTGGCCCCCCATCTGAACAATTCTGGACTCGTCCCTACACACAAGAAAGCAACTCCATATTATGATTATCAAAGCAGTTCAACTCTTTGTCGTGAGACATCCCAAATATAAACTAATATTAATCACATGAAATGCAAATAAAATATGAAGAAGACAAATAGCACGAGTATATGTGGTTTGGCTTGTAGTCTACACCCACGGGCGAAGGAGAATAGTTTTACTATTAAATTGCGAGGAATACAATTTGGAGATCTCTCAATCACCAATCTCAAACACACCCTAATAATTCCAATACAATCTCTCTCAAATAAAGAAGAAAAGAGAGCATTCAATCATTAACCGAGAGTTGAATAAAATACCCGTTGTTTGTTTCAGGTGCTTCAAAGATTTCGTCCTTTCTTTGCTGCTTTCTGTTTGATGCCTTATAATCCAATGACTTATGTGATATTATAGAGGCTTAGTTTTGCTAGTTGCTGTTAGCAAACAATTCCAAAAGCAATTGGATTCTCAATGCCAATATAATCGAAACGAACTGTCATTATCCTTCTACTCCTCATACCGTGCATTGCTAATAGGAAGTCCAGTAGGATTGAATATGCTATCCAATGTGGGATTTTAGCTCTTAGTCAGAACAAGACTGAGCCAATGTCAATGGGTGTCGAGTTCGACCTAGGTTAGTGGATAACCATGTAAACTCTAGATGTATTGAACAATGTAGTGCTGAGGATTTGTAGGCATTGAAACTCCACGCTTTTGTCTTCCAACTACAAATATCTTTCATATTCGGAATCACTATCCCATGCAAATTAAAAAAATTACAGGTCACTTTCAACAATTTATTCCAAAAAAATTCTCTTAGTTTTTGCAACCATTGATTAACTACTTTAACAAGATTCATAGCATTAGCAAAGTCTTGATCTCTTCTTTGTAATGCTTGTGATAAGTTATTTGTGATTCTAAAAATATTTTTGGTCAAGTGACAACAATACAAACTCAAAATTAAACAACCAACACAAGATCACATTTCGCTTCATGTTTTGTGCATCACCATCACCTTCCGCAGAAAAGACCTCTACATCAATCACTGAGGAAAACAAGACAAACAGACTCATAATTGTGCCTTAATGTTAACCCAAACTTGTGTCTCCCGGCCGTTTCAAATTTGTTTCTTGATTCAACCTTTATTTTGTCTTGGGTTCACCTCTACAAATACCATTAATTACTTTGTCAAGTTGTTTTTCTCGATAAATATCTTAGCACTTGCACGAGCCTTGAACAACATTTATTATCATGATTCATGGGAGTGTGTTTGAAGAACTCATTAAGCGAATTATGTTTCTTCACTACTACGAGTATCAATTGAAGTTAATGAACAAAACAATGAGCATAGTAGGCTGATTCATTCTCCGCTAATATCAACGCCATAAGACAATTCAACTCTCCTTGCATATTGCTGCCTCCATCATATCTTTCCCCACACATTTGACATGCTCATTCCTTGCATAGCATAAGTAGATTCAATAGCTGCTTTTAATGTCATTGCCTTAAGTGTCCTTAACATAAACGATTATAATAAAACGTTCGATGATGCTTTCCTTTTTATCCAGATAATGTACAATAAGAGCCATTTGTTCTTTAGTTAATACTTCACGAGATCCATCAACTAATAAAGCAAACAAATAATCATTCATGTCTGCAATTATAGCTTTTGTTTTCAGATAGGCACAAGGATTATGGCTTTCTTTTTGAATCGTTTGTGAAATCAGTTTATTCTTGTCTGGAGCATTTGACAACACTATTGTAGAAGTTCAAAAAACCATCCTTCAAGGATTTTTCTGATTCATCATGGCCACGAAAAGAGCTTCCTTTACGCAAGAGAAACATGATTGCTCTGGCCATTGTTCTAAGCAGAGGCGATAATCTATCTGTTCTTGTGGAGAAGCTTTACATGCATTAGTGTCTATATGTCGCTTCTGGTTCATGAGATGTTGACAAACTTTGAAGCATTGTGTATGAACACTATTGTGGTCCCCGACATGCTTTCTCAAAGTCTACTATCCCATACCAACAAAATGATCACCACCTCCTTTTTGTTAATTTGGTGGTTTGAACAAATAACAATATAGACTATTTGCTTTCACTATGTTCCAACCCACTTCCATACTCTGAATCGATCTTTGTGAAAATGACAATCTCTATGTGTAGGTTAGTATGCGACTGTAGGTTGGCAAGAACTCTTTAGCAAGTAATATGCTTTAACTTGGTTTGAAGATCTTGAACTTTGTAAATAAGTAGGCAGTAATATGCTTTAAAATAACTGCTGGTAGCTTAACAGAAAGCATTTAATGGAATCCCATATGCTTGTGCTGGCGATGTATTTTACTAGGATTCCATGCAAGTTTATATTTAGACTTCCCCTCGATTTATGTACCATATCACTCACTGTACATATAATTTTAATCTACAGGGAACATCAGATGAAGTTGTGGATTGTTCTCATGGAAAACAACTTTGGGACCTATGTAAGGATAAGTATGAACCTCTTTGGGTTAAAGGCGGTAAACATTGTGACCTAGAGCTATTTCCCGAGTACCTTCGACATCTCAAGAAGTTCATATCAACTGTTGAGAAATCACCATCCATAAGAAACACATGGAGGATGAGCACAGATCACTTTGAACCTTCTAGAAGGAGCACCGACTGTTTTGAATCATCAAGGAAGAGCACAGATCGAAGAGAGAAGCCACGGCTCAGCATCGATAAGAGAAATAAAGATCATAAAACTAAAGATAAGTTGGATAAGTTTAAGATCTCATTTGATCATATTGAGAGATCTCGAAGGAGTGTTGATTGTCTTGAACGGCCAAAGAGGAACACTGATCAATTTGATAGGGGTCGGAAGAGTGTTGATCGATTGGACAGAATATGGGCTGGTTAAATCTTCACACTTTGTTGTAAATTTATATTTGAGCTTGGCTGTGTTTAATAGTTTGTTTGCCCATTAATTTTCGAGTAGTTTGTTCTATGGAAAATTGCATAACAATAGGTTGGAGTAAGGTGGTGTAATTGCTAACATAACTGTATCTTTTCGGTTTTTACTTTTCTGAGGATTTTTAATAAACATATAAGTGATTGGGTTGGTGTATCTGTTATTGTACCTCTCTACTTAAGTTGTCTGCCAAAGGCTTGTAATAAAGGATAGAATTGAAGAAAAATAGTATCTCTTTACTACTTGATCTTTGTTCTCTTATTTTATTTCTATATCTTGAAGTTTATCATACACTGCCTTAAAATCTGCAGAGCTGTAACATGGCAAAAACTACATTAAGGGAAAATGGAAAAACTTTGCTTTTTTAAAATTTAGAACTGTATCACATGTTTTGTGTTAAGTTGTTTTGGACTTCTATAGTTATCAAGATTAAGCGCTCACGATGTACTTCCAGCCTCTTGCGTCTATTTACAGAACCTTTTGAACTGTTTTCATGTCTTTAAATTCCTCTGTTTATTCGGATGTACAAGATGAGCTGCTGTAAAGTTTTGCCATACTGTTGTATTTCAGAATAATGTAAGACATGTATGTATCTGTAAATATACACAAACTCACGTACACACACCTACATCCTTGAGTACATTCGAGCCCATTCCTAAGGGCACATACAGGAACACGCCTAGACAAACTCGTCAGGCACAAGCACACACGCGCACACCTATACAACTACACACTTTTTTCTGCGCATCTACACACATCCAAAAGGCACATGCATATACACACAGGTGTATGCATCATGCCCACCCGCACATGCATGTTCAAGAGTTGAGTACCCACATGAACACATGACATGCACGAGCAGAGGTGTACACGCATGCACAAACACGTACACCTACATGCATCCACGCACATACAACACATGCACTTGTAGACACCCACAAATACACATGCACACAACATGCATGCACCCACACGCTTTTGCCATACAAAGGTACAAACAAGTACACATGGACATGCACAATCTCACATGCTAACACATTTCTTACATGTATGCATACGTGTGCATACATGAAGACAGAAATAAGCACACCTTGATGCACACATAAGCACGTCCAGTACAAACATTCATACTCCTGCGACACGGATATACACGCGCACACACACACGTACACATCCTCAAACATTTACTTACACATGCACAATTGCACATGTCCAAGATCACAACAAACACAAATGGTATCAGTCCATCTTAGGGGATGGCAACAGTTTTAGATATGGCTTAGATATGATACTTACTATATTCATATATCTTGTCATTCACGGATATAGATATGGATATACCTCAGTAAGGAAAACTCATAGCCATATCCACTAAAATCGGATACGGATACGAATATACATGAAGATGTACATACAAATATACATGTGGATATAAAACGGACATGAAAAAATAAAAATAATATTAAAGGAATATAATTCATATGGTACAATAGAGTTCATTCATATATGTTATGACGAGTCCCTAGGATAAACTAATATCAATTACACGAAAGCACAAAAAATATCAAGATTACAAGAACACATAGATATACATGGTTCAGCTTGTAGCATATGACCATAGGTAAAGAAGGAGAATAGCTTTACTAATAATTTGCGAGGAATACAATGTTAAAGTCCCTCAATCACTCAATCCCTAATACACCCAAGAGCCTAATACAATCCTTCTAAAATAAAGGAATAGAAGAGAAAAATATCAAATAGGCTTCACAAGAGAACTCTCTCTTCTTGATTGATGCTCAGATTGATGATAATTTAATCTTGGATGACCCTATATACATACAGATCCAAAAGGCCAATTGCTTGCTTCTCAAGGAAATAGAATCACAATGGGAATATCATTTCCATATGATTGATTATGTTAGCAAATTAAGTCTATGTGGGATACCTAATCAATTAGAACCTTTAATTGATCGAGATTATTTAAAAGTTAATTAGGTATCTGTTATGGATTATTCAATTGCCAAATTGAGGTCTCTCGTCAATAACAGGCAAGTATCCCATATTACATCTAATTCGGCCGACTCGACACTTGGGATAACTAAAGTCTCCGATTCAGTTGACTCTCCATGTCGACATCTCGCCAGGGTCGACTAGAGAGGAGCGAGGGTCGACTTGAAAGGCGGTACCTCTCGTCATCCCTCCATGCGAGACAAAAGATAATTGCCACCTCGAGCCCCCTGCTGACAACACATCGAAATCACATTAAATGCGTGACAGGCGCCATCATTTCTCTATCCCCAATACTATTTATGGCACATCGGACCATGCCGTTCAGCACGCCGCCTGTCCCATCTCATTAAATGCTAAAATAACCACACTCACTCCGCGACCGACACTTGTAAAGTCAAAGCTGACTCAGCTGTCAGCCCTGACTCGACCGAAGAGACCAAAATGACCCTCATTCATTGCCATAAAAAGGAGAAATGATTCCTAACGTGAGGTAAGCAACTCACTCCGCGACCGACACTTGTAAAGTCAAAGCTGACTCAGCTGTCAGCCCTGACTCGACCGAAGAGACCAAAATGACCCTCATTCATTGCCATAAAAAGGAGAAATGATTCCTAACGTGAGGTAAGCAATTTTACTCAGCATTTTCCTCCCTTCCACTGCACTTAAGAATTTCTATAGTTTGCCACTTTTCCACTCAAGTCTCTAGTTAAGTTGATCATCGGAGTAACAACGGAGGAACCAGACCCTGCCCTCTTACGAGTTGTTGCATGTGCAAGGAAGAACAACTCTACTCTAAACTAGATATTTAGAGAAGTTAGCAGCCCCTGATCAATCTTATTCTGACTAATTATCTATTTGATTATTTAACAACAACAGTTTAGCGCCCCTCGTAGGGCCTTCTCTTTTTTTCGAGCAAGCATGTTTGGTTTTGGGAAGAAGGCTGATCCATCCTTTCCTGGAGGACCACATCAGAGCTATGTCACCCAAGCCCAACTTGAAGAGACTGCTCAAAAGATCTCTCACTCCCTCCAATAGCAGCTTGCAACCTTCACCAGTGAACTCTAAGCTGGTTTCCACCACCGTAGTGAGCTAACTCTGCCATTCCTCCTCCCTCTGGCGACCATCGCTCAAAGACTCACCCCCCTCAGAATCTTAGCATGTAGTCCCACCTCAAACTCCTCATTCTTCCACCAAGTAGCAGAGAGATCACGTCGAGCAAGCGACCCATTGTCATACCATTCAACTCGCCAAGTGAATCCTCATCAGCGTCTCCTCCAGTACATAGAAGCGAATGGCAAGATCCCTGGCCCTAGTGTCCATACGGATCACATCGCGAGAGGAATGTCGAGGGCTCTCCGTCATCAACATGCCACTCCAGTCCCCTCAGCAACTCATGGGGCTCCTGGATATGATTGGGTGTATCGACCATTCGCTGAAGCCAACAGGGGGAACACTCCCCTTACCGATGACATCATGAGCACTCCATTTGAGAAATTCAAAGATGCCTCATGTGGAGAAATACAAGGGTGAAGGAGACCCTGCCGAGCACGTCTAGAGCTATTATAATATAATGAGCATGCTCTAGGTGCCCGAAGCTATCATTTGTCAGTGCTTCATCATTACCTTGTCAGGGAGTGCCAAGCTTTGGTGGAACACCCTAGAGAAGAAGTACATTAGCAACTTTCAATAGCTCAGTTAGAAGTTTATCCATCACTTCTTGGCCGACACCAAGCAGAAGCTACCTCCTCATGTTTTCATACATATGAGGTAGGATCCTAGAGAGAGCCTTCGAGCCTACTTCAAGAGGTTCTAGGTGAAGAGACTGGAGGCTAATGACCCAGGGAGTTCGGTCACTATGTCTGCCCTTGTAGATGGTCTACTGAATAATGAACTGGCCGACTCATTGGCCAAGAAGCCTATCGCCAATTATGAACAAGTGATGGCCAAAGCTCACGGGTACATGGACATGGAGGATGCTCGAGCTTACAAGGTGGTGGCTAAGGTGGCAGAAGCATCCACAGGAGTGACCCCAGCATGAGCAGTAGTTACAACAACACCTATACCTACACCACCGGCCCTTGTAGCGGCCCAACAGTAGTGCCGGCACCAGAGTTGACTAGAGGCCCTCCAATATGGCAAGAGTGGCCGAGAGACCCTCCAAGAGTTGACTCCTACTCTAATCGGTCTAACATGAGGGACCGAAGGAGGGAGCTGGTGCCTAGAGCCTCTCTCATATTTCTTAACACCTCTCCGGTTAAAGCCCTCAACATGGTCCGGAAGGAGGGACAACTCAATGATCTCCTTCCTAAGATGAGGTAAGATCCTCGGAGTAGAGACACTAGGCAATACTACTGATACCATAAGGATCACAACCACCTCACCAATGACTTTCGAATCCTAAAAAGGGACATAGAGGACCTGATACAGAGGGGATATCTGAAGAAGCTTGTCTCCCACAGAGATAGGAGCGAAGTTGCTCTAGCCACGATTGACAGGAGGTCTCGTTCACGATCACCTCCCCACTATAGCAGGATAGCCCCCCGAGCCTAGCCATAAGGGGGTCATCAACACTATTACCGGTAGCCCCACAATTAGAGGGTCATACAACAATGCTCAGAAGAGGTATGCTAAAAGAGCATTGCGGATCAGCGTGCATGACAAGAAGCCGAGAATGAAAGAACCCATCTCCGGGTGAAGAGAATCATGGTGGACACAGGAAGCTTGGTGGATTTTCTGTATATCGATGCCTTCAATCAGATTGGCATTGACAAATGCTAGCTGTAGCCATGTAGGGGCTCTCTCATCGAATTCATCGGACACTCCCTTCAACTCGAATGGATGATCACACTCCCCCTGACGGTCGGAGAGTACCCCCGGTAGTGCATTGTCTAAGTCTAGTTCTTAGTGATGAATCTCAAGATAGCCCATAATGTCATCTTAGGCCCAACCACCCTCCACCTCTTATGGGCCATCCTTTCTACCTATTACCAGATGCTGAAGCTCCCAACTCCTAATAGAGTCAGAGTCGCTAGGAGCAACCAACTAGAGTCTAGGTCCTACTACCTACTCTCAACTAAAGGCAAGGAGATGCAAGAGACCCTGCCTAGGCCGGCCCCCAGCCTCAGCATCCACAACTGCTTGGTCTTCCTCCATAGGCCTGCCTGGAGGGGGAAACATCATCAAAGATGATGACCACCGACTGTTGGTAGGAGGGATGA